GGGGAGGGAGGGAGGGCGGCCCGGCCCGGTCCGGCCCGGCCCGGCCCGCCTCACGGTGCCCGGGACCTGCCCTGAGCTGGGGCCGAGCCCTCTCGGCCCTGCTTTACGCAGCAAGGCCGCGGCTGCCCTGCTTAGGATTGCTGGGGGCTTTTGGAGGACTTTAATCTTGCCCGAAGGAACCGCTTTAGGTGTAATGCGCTGTTTGGCTTTAAACATGGAGTGCTGTAGCTAGCTGGTGGCTGCTTGTTTCCAATTCTTGCATATAATCAAGTCGGAGGTGCTGATTTTCTGGGGCTGATAACTTGTCCCTTGGAGCATGCAAACTCTGCTGTGTTTTGAATAGTGTAATAGGTGTGAGTTCAAATTACAGTGAGAAAAGGTGAGGTTTTGGGGTGTCAGTCAAGCAATAACCCCCCCCCCCTTTTTTTCTTTCATTTGAAGTGCCTATCTCTGATAGACAGGCCAGGCCTGGAAGGCCACTGTGCGTTTCTGTGGGATGAGGTATCTGCTGTACTGTGCTATATTTACACTCATGGGACTGCTGTTTGCAAGGACAATGGCCTGGACTTCAAGTGGAAAGACGCATCGTGAGCTAGTCAACAATCTGTACAGTGAGTAACAACACAAGCTCCTATTCCAGGCAAATGTTTAAAAACGGCTGATAATTTGTTATTACTTTAGTGTAAAGGTATTTAATGTTATGCAGTGACAGACTGTAATGCTGTTCATTCCAAAGCGTCTGAGCTGATAACTGCCTGGATTTCAGTATTTGTCCCAGTCTGAACTTATTCTATTTATAATTAGAAACAAGATGTTATGCTAGAAGTAGCAGGAAAGACTATCTGTGACCTTCCTTCTACTCCCCCTGAAGTGATAAATGAGTAGCAACTTTTTTTAAATGCTGCAGAAGATGACATCACTGTCAGCCTGTAGAAGCTGAGCTTCTGTGCAGTCTGTCACCTCTAGATAGATGTCCTGGGATTGGAGTAATGCTTGGTGTTACTACTCTGTGCTGGACAGCATTCTGGAGCGTGCTTAAAAGTGGCTTTGAATTTCCTCTGCTGCTGAAGCCATGCTGGTCTTCCCCTGTAAGAGTTCCCTCAGAGATGAGGAATAAAGGAATGATGAATGTTTCTGCAGTCGTTGCTCTTAACTTCAGTTCATCTACCCTGCCGATGTTCCTTAAACCTGGACTAAAGTTTCCACTTTCAGGAGTGAAAGTGTGACTCTACTTATCTTTCATTACATTTGACAGTCACAGAAATATTGTGGTTGTAACTAACCATTCTGTGTAGGAGGCTATGCTGATGGTTGAGACTATCAAATGATTTCATTCTGTGTACCAGAAACTGAAAAGCATGCACCTTCAGTTCTGCTTTTTGTCTGTTCTCAGATCACTTATTTAAGGAGCTTTCAGTTTTACTGCTAACTCCCTGAACTGTGTTCCCTTCTGAATCTCTTCTTGCTATAATCCTGAGGACTGTCTCTTCTTTATCCCTCTTTCTTCCAGAAAAAGGAATAATTAAATCCCAGCGGGTCTTTGATGTATTATTGGCTACTGACAGAGGTCACTATATCAAGTATTTCCCATATATGGATTCTCCTCAGTCTATTGGTGAGTAACTTAAGACAAGGTATCATTGCTTTTATGGTGTTTGCATTGACTATGCTAGTCACAGTGAAGAGAGGCCTGAGATGGATTGGCGGGACTGAGTTCCCCATGCTAGACGTTCTCTCCTCAAAACAGTGACAGAATTTTAACATGACTCAAGTAAGATCAACTTCCATCTGTATTTCAACAGTGGGATCTGTTACCTGTTGTAACTGCCTTGGATCTACTTGTGAATTCCATCAGAAGAATTGAATAAGCACCTGCCTGTAAAAGGCTAGAACTTGCACTGTATTCTTCCCACTATCCTAAAAGAGAAAGCATCTTTTGAAGAATGATAAGGACAAGTGGAATAAAGATTTTTTTTTTTTCTGTCCAGCCTTTGTTAGTACATTCTTTCTTGCAGAGCTGAGAAAGCTGTTGGTTTGAGTTGTAGGTGCGGTGAACGCTCTAATCTTACTGACTTTAGTAGGAGTAATTATGGGTATTCAGAACAACTGAACAGGAGCCTGTGAGGTGAGGCAAAAATACTTATTTGGAAAACGGAGGAGAGTGGTTCCTCTTCTTAAATTGTGCTCCTGTCCCACTGAATGGGATGCCAACCCTCTGCATTCAAGGATTTTTCTCACCCCCACAAATATAAACATTATGTTTTATGTATAGAAGCATTCTTAACAAGGGTGGTAAATACATTGTTTTTATGCTTTGTTTTTGGTTTTCCCTTTCCATGCTTTTAAAAAAAAAAATCAGTGTTTCCCTACCTGATGCACAATCCCAGGTATCCTCAGAAACATAGTAATGATTTTAGATCCAAAACTTACTTGAAATAATACAAGAGCAAGAAATATCAGACTTTCTCTCAGCACCATTCTTCTAATATAAGTAGTAATAGAGATGAAAAATCCTGAGATGTGCTAAAACCACACAGAGCGCTACATCAGACTTCAGGGGTTTGATTTTAGGAAATTTTTTTGATTGGTTAGACAGTTTCAGGGAAGGGTGGGTCCTGCTGTTTTCCCTTGGGGATTCCTGGGTTCTCAGGAATTGCTGTCTCTTGAGAGTGGATGCAATTTGCATTTTCTTTGTTCATATAAGCTGTTGTTAACTGTAGATTACTTAAGTGAAAATGATGCAAGTATCTGATAATATTTCAGCTACATATGGCATGAACGTGTTCAGAACTAAAACTCAATTTCTCTATAGTCTGTGGTCATGGTGTCAAAAGGCTGGCTGCTATACCCTTCTATTGAAACTCTGAGGCTCTCAGACTTGGAAATTATCCCCAGAGTTGGCTATCAGTACAGAAATCTTAGTTTTCTGCTGAATGTCTCAGCAGAAATGAGTAATGTTTCTATGCATGTGTTCCACAGAAAAAGCAGATGGATACCCCTTACAACTCACTTCATTTCTAGCTCTGAAACTTGTCCGCAACTGTGCCCCAGCTTCGTCATCTGGTAGCTTAAACAGTTGTTTTGGTGAACAGGTATTTTTGGCTTGATATCAGGACTGTTCTTTGGCTCTTCTTACTTAACTGAAGCAAAAGTAAATTCCTGCCAGTGTAGAGGAAAGATCTATATAGCTTTTCCAAGTCCAAAATATTCACTGATTGCTGTGAATCATGTTTATGGAGTGGAAACAAAAGTAAGCTATGATAGCTGAAGAGCATTTTGATGAATGAGGCAGGAGAGCTTTGGAGGTTGAAACAGTTTGGTACTAAGCATTGCAAAGCTATCTTGCTCTCATTAGCAATCTGACAGATGGAAATTTTAAGTCAGTGCAGTGCTTTAGTGAGGCAAGAGAAGAGCCTTTTGATATTTTTAGCGGTCTGGAAAGAAGAATAAGAAACTACTTACATTGGAGAAGATGATAATTAATTGGACATTATCACCTTCATTCTTACCAGCATGTAACTTTGTCACTGGTTTCCTTTTAGGATACAAGGCTACAATCAGTGCACCGCATATGGTGAGATGAAACTTTCCACTTTTAATGGAAATGGAGGGAATTGGTTTTTTGGGTTTTTGTTTTGTTTTTTTATTTAAATACTATAATAAAAAGGTGAAGCAGGTCTCCTGTGCATGATTATTGTGCTTGTTTCTTTAGACACTGTACACGTGAGGCTTTTTTATGCTCAGGCAGGAATTCTGTGTTACTGGCTAACCATGAGTGTTGTCTTGTTTTTTGCACGAGACCTTTCTCCTATTTCCTATCCTACTACTAGAACACTTCCCAAATGCTGTTCTGCAAAAAGTGTTTCTGATCAAACACTGGGACTTCACTTTGAATGTGTCAGACAAAATGTAGGCATGCTGTATTTAAATCAGAGCAGATAATGCTTAGTGTTAAGAAACTAATAATTTTTGGAGGAAGCTAATAACTGTGTAAATGGCAGAGATATGTGAGAAATGATATGTAGCTTCATGTAAATGCGGTGCTGCACACCTTCTTGTAACTGTCTACACAGCATGCCCATGCCCTGGAACTGCTGAAGGATCAGCTTGTGGAAGGTGCCAAGGCATTAGATATTGGGTCTGGAAGTGGATATCTTACAGCTTGCTTCGCCAGGATGGTAAGCTGAGCACAGGGTGTCATTACTAAGTAGTAATGTATATCACGACAGGTAGCTTGAACAGGCTGTCTGTCTTTTCTTCTCTTACCAGCTCTCAGTAAAAATAAATACAGTGATTTTTGGAATGTAAATGGATATTGTATCTGCCAAAGGTTGTATATTAACTCAGTCCAGATCAAGAGGCGTGTATTAATATACTGTGCAAGCCCATTGTAGGTTCTGTTTCTTACTTTGTTTCCTAAGTAGTAGTAGTCTGTTTTCTAAACTCCTCAGTGCATTTTCTGTAATGCGCTAGAAAGCGGATTGAATTATCCTTCTTAGGAGGCTGGTTACTTAGTCAAGAACTGGGTCTGCCAAGGAAGCTGTCAATTCTACCAAATAATCATTTATTTGGAAATGAAGGAATACTAGGAATCCCCATATGAAATGCCTGTGTATCTGTTAAGTAGCTAGTATAACTGGGACTACTCCGCCTTAAAACCAAGGTGGCACAGGACTTGTACCTTGGTCAAAAATGCTGCTTTTAAATTTCTTCCTGAAATTCTCCAATACCCATGGTAGATTGCCCTATAAAATGCATCCCTGTACATATAGCATAATGTATGTTTGCTGTTTTTTGTTTTCAGATGGGCCCAACAGGGAAAGCTGTGGGTGTAGAACACATTAAGGAGCTGGTACATGAATCCATCAGAAATGTCCAAGAAGATGATCCAACTTTGCTCAGCTCTGGCCGTGTAAAACTTGTGGGTGAGCTATCTGGGATCTTCACGCTTCTTCCCTTCTGTAAATGTTCATTAGCTCTGCCTGTCTGCAGAACTCTACTCCTCAAAGCAGTTCTAGTTTGTGTTAAGTCTGAGCTGCTTGCCACAACGTTGCCTGAAACCATTGGCTAAGAACTGTGTAGTACTGATTAAGAACACTGTGGTCTGAACAAGAACTGTTTAATGCTAGGAGTAGTCTTGCCATACTTTTATTTCTGAGTGTGTAGTGACTATTCAGGAAGAGATCCTCTTCAGAGGAGACTAGTTATACCACATGTGGCTTTCAGTGTATTTGAACAGGACTACACATACTCTTTTCTGGATAACTTGGGTCCATTTTTTCTGTACCTGGAATGGGAAGTCTGCACAAAGTCACCATGTTATTTAAAGGCCATCCTGGCTTTGACAATCGTTCTTCTAGCATGGTCAGGTTCCAGAAATCTCTTCCTCCTTTTTAGAAAGTAACCCAACACTATTTCTAGCAGAGAGGTCAGTGCTCTGATTTAGGAATTCCTGTTGCCATCACAAGCTTGCTACAAAATATTCATCTAGTTTTCCTGTATCCTTTCATTTGAAGACTTATTTGGGAGTAGAGTTATCTGCACTTTATCCAGCCTTACCTGATTCTGCATGCTTTTTCCCCACCTGTAGTTGGAGATGGCAGGCAGGGATACCCTGAAGAGGCTCCTTATGATGCCATTCACGTTGGAGCAGCAGCAGCAACTGTGCCGAAGGAGGTAAGAATGATCGTGTCAGATGTCTGTTGCAGTTGGTATCATCAGTACCTGTGATTAATAATTGGGGAACCACAGGAATCTTCCTTTTTCTGTGTGCCAGCTCTTTATATGAAGCTGGCAACCTTGTGCCTTTGAAAGTGTCATGACCTTCACAACTTGGCTTATTTTTGTTGTCTCTTTTGAGGGCGTGGGGGAGTTATTTCGTTTTGGCTCTGCTGATACGGATTTCTCTGCTTGCCAGTTGCTGAATGAATTGAAGCCAGGAGGCCGGTTAATATTGCCTGTTGGTCCCGAGGGTGCAAACCAAGTTCTGATGCAATATGACAAAACCAGCGATGGGCAGATCATCGAAACACAACTGATGGGTGTGATCTATGTTCCTCTGACAGATAAGGAAAAGCAGTGGCCTCGGTAAAAGTTTGCTCTCCCTTGAGGAATGTTTCTCCTCACAGCTGTCCCTGTGACCTTGCTTTCTTAGACTCCTGGCATTACTGACAGACAGATTTCTGGAATCCTAGCAGATGCTGTTTGTAAAAGACAGAAGAAAGAGGCTTAGCTGGTAAGGCACAGCAGGAGAGTAGCATATATCCTGTGTTAGATAGGGATCGCAGACTGAGTGCTCAGGCCTCTTTTGGAATCTGCCTGCTTTCAAAAACACTATCTATATTCATTTTTGTCACTGAGCTGAAGGCAAATGTGTGATAGTAACTGTTGGTTTTTCTTTGCCTCAGGGATGAAATCTGACGGATGGATATGTCTAAAGTGACCACAGAAAGCTCATGAAAGGGACTGTAGATGTGTATGGCTCTTTTTTTTTTAATGGAAACTTTATAAGTGGATGTGCTTGCAGTTCTCCTTTTGAAGAGCTTGTTACAGAAGCACAGAGAAAGAGGGTATTTCTCCCAGGGAACTAGAGCCTCTTGAAATGCACGTCTGGTTCCAGTCAGCGAGTTGAATCAGGGAAGTCCCATTATCCTCTTTGATAAACTATAAATAACATGTATTTACAGAGAATTTGCAAACCAGACAGAAATGCTTAAAACTCCACAATTGGTACCTCACTAAAAATACTCTAATACTGCCTCCTTCACCTAATGCTTGAAGAAAAACAAGCTGTAACTGATTTATCGAAGTTTAATTACAAGAGTGTGTTTTCTTCTCGACTACTTTAATCGCTGGTCATAACCCTGAACTCCTCCAACGCTGCGGATTAAGAAAAATCTCCTTCTCCGGCTTGTCGCACAGCCCTTCTCCTCCCGTGCCCCTTGCTTCTCCCCTCGGCGCCTGGCCGCTTAGGAGCGGCGAGGGGGCTGAGCGGGACGGCAGAGGACGCGGGTGCGGGCCCGG